CAGCTCTTTTATGCATGTCTGTCTGGAAATTTGCCTGGAGTCATAAAAATGAGGTTTCTCCTTACTATCAGGTTAACATGATAGCTTAGTGTTTTGATGTTATGTTAGGATTGAAATGGAGTTTATAACAAAAGTTCGGGAAGGATGACAACAACCAAGCTCAATCATACTCGGCTGTCAATAATTAGCAATCGATCCTGATAATCCATGCCTCTCCCAAACGCTATAAATACCTACGAGATCCCTATCTCTCTCTCTTGCATCCACCCCATCTCTACCTCTGTAGCTGCCCCTTTGCAACCCTGCATGGGGGTCCTGGTCTCCTTGTCCTATGGCTGGGAGGTCAGCTCTCAGCCAAGCAGGTTAAGCCACAATTTTGCTCCATGACGCTTTCATGGGTGTTTGTCATTCCTCGTGAAATCAAGTGTGCAGAAATATTGCCAATTATCTGTTTTTTTTACTGATAAAAATTCTCACTGTCTTTCCTTGTTTGACACATGTAAGTAGTAGAATCTAAGTCCTCTGTTAGCAATGCAGCACAAATTGCCCATCTAGTCTTTATGAAACTTCATATAAATATTCCATTCTAGGTTACAAAAGTAATTTGTCATGGGTTGTGGGATGGTACTTTAAAAGTAAAAAAAATGCTTAAGAGCAAGAATATATCTTTCTCCTTTCATCTTTAGTTAAATATGACCTAATGGGATGAGAAAAACTGTTCTAGTTAACACTCTCAGGATCCTTCATCTTTAAATATTAATCTGAGTTTCATAATGAGCTCTGAAGTAAAAGGAGCTTGCCAAGTACACATCATATTTTTTTTGTCTTTATGTGGGAACAATATTTAAAAAGCAGATAAGGTATGTTATGCATTTGTTACGATGGAAGGAAAAGAGTGATCCTTCATGGACTTGATTACAGTAAATTCATACCAGTCTTGGCTGTGTACCATAAAGTGTTTGAAATTTGTAGTGTTTGCCTGAAGTCTGCAATATTTTCTCCCATTCCTATTTTTTCTTCAAGGTCAGGTTGAGTGCAAGTTCTAGATATTCCCTTGTCAGCATCATTTTTCTCATCTGCACTTACAAATAATGTAGGAGAGGCTGATGGTCCTGGAAATCAGGAAAAGGATTTTAGACAAGTTTTTTTTTTTGCTGAACTGTAACACCACCTTATTGGTCTAATCCATGTGGTACTTGACAAATTGTCTATACATTACTTAGCTACTCTTTATGAAGCTTATAAAGAAATACAAAAAATAACGATAAATGTCCATTTATTTTGTATGCCACAAAATTATGTATTCCTTGTTAATTCTCTTTAAATTCACACTTCACACTATTATTATTAACACTATCGCTAGTACTGTAGTATCCATGCAGTAACCAATGACTGCATTTTAAGGTCAGAAAGTTTCAATGTCCTCATCTTTTTTATCTCTGAATATTGCTAACAGCACCTCAATTTAGGAAACGTACAGTATTGACTAGAAACTTTAAAAACATTAATACTCAGCCTCACATCTCCATCTAGTGGCTCTTGAGAATTTTGCCATTCTGATACCTCTAAATCAGTGGCTTAAAACTCCTATCCCAGAGATCTTATGTCCCTACTGGCTTTCTTTCCAACTGAGCTTGAAAGGTCCAGTACTAATTAATGTATTAAACTGATCTGTTGACTTTTTATACAGTACATTTGACCTACTTGTTTTTAAGTTCAGTCCTCAGTTTCAAAAATGCCCTATTTCAAGAGTACTGTTTTTTAAAACAGTAGGATACTGAGTTTTAAGAAACCTCTCCTCAGCTTGCTTGACTTTATTTCTTTCTGTGAAGCTCCAAGCAGGTGATTTATGTATGATGCACAGTCACAGATGGGAAAGGCAATCTATAAAATACTCGTTCCAATATTTTTCTTCCTTCTGCCTTCTGTAGAAATCTAGCTGGTTACACCTTAATGAATGCAGCTCTGAAACCTGGCAGTTGGTACAAGGTTCTAAGAGCTGAAAACAAATTTAAATGAAAGATTGCAATCAATTAACCCAAGAGCCAGACAATTGCTGGGGAAACATCCAGAACACACGGTGGTCCCCTATCGGTCCAGGATTTGGAACCACTGCTCTAAATTACCCAAGAGGATGTCTACAATGTCTCTCTATTGACTCTATTGAAGGGCAATCACAAGGTTATAGTTTTCCGATTAAAAATACATTAACAAAATTCTGCTGTATCATGTAGTGGTTAGCCCAGAGGTGGCACACTGGTTAGCATTGCTGACCTGTAGTGTTGGGGTCCTGGGTTTAGTTCCTGGAGTGCAATCTGTGAGGAGTTTCTATGTTCTCCCCATGTTCACATGAGTTTTCACCAGCTCCAGTTTTCTCCCCCAGTCCAGAGACATGCTGGTAGGTTGAGTGGCCCTGGTGAGTGTGTGTACACTATGATGAACTATCATGCTGGCTTGCACCAGTTGCTTGCTGGGACAGGCTCAGGCTCCTCCTTAACACTGTATTGGATATGGATATTAATCTCAGAAACCACTACATGAAATGACCCACCACCTTGTAGTAAATATACAAATACATTTAATGTGTAATTAAATTAAATGTGTTAAAGACATGAAAAATTCAAAGAAATCAGTATTTTCTATCGTGTCCTCGTGATGTCATCTTATTTTTTTTAAATGTTAGTATACAGTACAGTACTTTGAAGTTGTGCTGTTCTAGGACAGAACCGGCTTCTCTGCATGAGCTTCTGTAAATCTGGATCTCTAGCTTCTCACTAACACGCTTGTCCTTTCCGTGGGACAGCAGAGCCACACACAATTAGGAGGCAAGTGGCTTGATCTTATGCGGTCTCGTTAATCATTTATTCCCAGCTGTTTTAAACAAATCAAGTAGATAAATGAACCAGGCTGCATTAATATTGAGGAGTATCATAAACACCATGGACCCATGTACAAACCTGTATGTTAACCTTCTCCATGTACAGTAGCACAGATGGGGAATCCTGGGCCTGAGGAGTTGGTTTTCATTTCAGCTTCTAAAAACCTAAATCATCATTTATTATTCGATTTAGTAGCTTCTTCTAGCTCGCCAGGAGCTGGTGCTTTGAAGAGATGTTTGCAGTGGTTCTCCAGGTCTAGAATTACTGATGACGTCTATATACAAAGTCAAATGTTTTCAACTGTGATAAATTTGAACTGTTGCTTTTCAATGAAAAATGAAATTCTATTCAGAGATCCCAGACAGTTCCCCATTTTTCACAAGAACCCATTAATGATTAATTTACACAACTGAAACGGATTTATATGGGGAAGCATTCAAATTGTAACAAATGTGTATTGGAACACATAGCGCTTGTTGCATTTTTAATGCCTCTTGTATTTTACAATGGAATCCACTGACGTTCAAATGCAACCACTCAGATATTCATTCCAATAACTTTCTTCAGAATTAAATGTTTTCATTCTAGCACAAATACATTTAGTATACTACTTTTAATGTGAACAGATACTAAAACAAGACATATGATTAGTGATATGATAAAATATATAAAGCCAATTTTAGCTTTGTACAAGCATCTCTTTCTAGAAACTGAAAATACAGTAATATGAGAAAGTGGATTTCAATGTCACATGGTACTATAGTATGTTCCTTAAATACTGTAACTTGGTGTATTTACATTCAACAATATGGTTCAGATTTCATCTGCTATATTTATAAATAAAATATGTCATATGTTACTACCCTGTGGAATAATTAATTCTGTGTTACTGTATATCAATAATTCTTCTCCAGCTATCTATGTGCAACTAAGAAGTTCTATCAGGATTTCTATTCAGTAAAAACCTTTTGTCAAATCTTGATGAAGCTATAGTATACTATTGCTTAGAAAAAGCCCACAATGAAGTGAAATGAAGAAATGAAAAGGGAAATAGTTCTGACAAACTTATTTCTTGTTTCTGTTCTGCTCTGTGGCCTGTTAAAAGTTCTCCCTCAATTCCTCTGGTTTATGTGCTGTGTATGCAAAGCATTGTCAAATTCTTTACAATTCAAAGCACTACATAAATGTAAGTTGTTATTATTATAGGAATTAAGCTATTACATTATTATATTTTCTTGGCTTCCTTTGTGGACTAACATCTACAAAAAACTCTGTCCTAGGCTTCCCTCTAATAATGATAATAATAAAATAATAATTACTTACACTTATAAAGCACTTTTCTGTACACTCCACTCAAAGCGTTTTACAAGTCCACCTGGATGATGCGACGGCAGCCATAGTGCGCCAGAACGCTCACCACACATCAGCTATCAGTGGGGTGGAGAGCAGAGTAATGCAGCCCATTCATAGATAGGGATTATTAGGAGGCCACAATTGGAAAGGGCCAAATGGAAATTTGGCCTGGAGGCCAGGGTTACACCCCTACTCTTTTCAAGAAATTTTTTATGACCTATGAGGGTCAGGACCTCAGTTTTACATCTCATCCAAAGGACGTTGCCTTTTTACAGCATAGTGTGCCCATCACTATACTGGGGCATTAGGACCCACATAGACCACAGGGTGAGCACCCCCTACTGGCCCCACTAACACCTCTTCCAGCAGCAACCTTAGTTTTCCCCAGGAGGTCTCCCATCCAGGTACTGACCAGGCTCACACCTGCTGAGCTTCAGTGAGTTGCAGGGTGATATGGCTGCTGGCAACAGGGGGCTTGTGAAGCCTGAACACATGAAAGCCATGAAGGACAGCAAAAATATTGTGCACCAGACACTTTATTAAGCCACCTCTTCTGTACACCCAACAAAAACTCTCCACCAGATACCATAGTGACACCCTTCACATACTGTACCATTAATCGATTTTTAACACCTTCTTCCAATTCAGGATTGCGGGGGATCCAGAGTCTACCCCAGCAAGCAATGGGTGCAAGGCAGGGCACACACTGGATGGGACGCCAGTTGATCACAAGTCAGGCACACAGACACACCTAAGGCCATTTTTTTCCAGAAGCAATTACCTAACATGTTTTTGGACTGTGGGGAGGAAAGCTGAGCACCCAGAGGAAACCCACAAGAACTGAGGGATGTTATACAAAATCCACACTGGTAGCACCTCAGCTCAAGAGCCTGCATGGCAACAATTCGCCAACCCCTTCATATATCAAATAGAATAGTCTACATTAACCACATATGAAAATGGGGTCTGAGCCCTCCACTAATTAGCAGTGTTGAATACTTTTGGGAATCCAAATTACTAGCATGGTTTTTCATCAATTTTTATTAAAGTTTATTTTGTGTTATAAAAGGCATGAGCAGTCAAGTATTGTAATGTTAAAATTAAAAAAAATGTAATGAAAAATACATCTTTTCTTTATTTACAATATTTAAAAAATATATAAAAAACAGAATGTGATCTTTGTAGTATTTTGCCAACTATTTTTTGGAGTCTTTAGTTTACAAACTGCCATTTACAAACAAAATGAAAATAAACTTTTCTTTGAATCCAAGGCATTTCCATAACTTTTTTAAATATTTTTTTTTCTTGAAACACCTTTCAGTCAAATGATACAATGATGATACAAATGTTCTTTAGAAAGAATTCACTCTTCTGAAGAAGCAAAAAGCACGAGCACTTTCCCCTTACTTTACTGTACCTGTGTATTGTAATTTCTTCACATTTGTGTTGTAAAAAACACAGCAGTACATTCAGAAAGATATATTGACAGTGTGCGATATGCACTCAGATACAGTACCTTTATCTCAAATATCCAAAGCATGTCAAAATATAAATGGTTGTTTCATAAGACATAATTGAACTTAAGCATCTAATGTGTTATAATACTGTATGTCAATAACAGTTCAAACTTTACAAGAGTAGAATCACGATCTGAACTTTTTGCCATTTTCTTTTCATATTTTTAGTGACAGGTACTGTACATGGTGATAATGCAACCTTTCCATCACTACTTGCTTCTTTGGTTTGGTCCCACATTTGCAAACAGTCATCACCCGGGTCATCTTAAACAGAAAGACCAGCTTTTGCCTTAAGCACAGCTGACATTTTATGATGAGGACATGATAGTGATCATTCTGAACTAATAATGTTTTATCCTTGCAGCTGAAGCTATTCCCAAACAGATCTGTCATAATTATTATTAAACACCACTTTCCAAAACTCCACCTCTGTGAAACATTTATTCCTTTCAACCAAGAGTTTCAGTGCTCGAGCCTCTTTCTTGGATTGCTCAAAGCTGGGCTTCCATATTTCTCTCAGAGAGTTGGTGCTCACGGGGCCAGATGAGAAGGTGAAGGACTTAGGGGGTGGGCAGCTTAGGTGGTTTGCCTCTGCCTGCCATGTTCTTGGTGTCAAGCCCTGTAAATCAGGATAAGAAAACACATATCTGTTACTACAGCTCAATCCTTGAATCTTATTAAAGAAAAAAAGGGTACATCAAGACGAGCAGCAGTAGATTAGAAACCTTACACCATAAAGGCCCATTGGGTTCCAGTCTAAAATAAAAAAAAAGAATATGATGCTGGAAATGTTCCGTTTTAGAAATATGGGAAACGCTATTTTAAAAAAACAACTTACTCCATAAAACAGCTCATGTAATGACAAAAAGTTGTGAGAGTAAGGAACAAGCTAAACAGTCAGGCTGTCAAAACCAATTCCCTGGCTTCTGTCAAAAATATCTGGATGAGATCAATTATCTACTAACAATCATACAGACTAGATTAGTTGAATGGCTCCTCTTTGTAACTATTCTAACGGTCTTGTATACTTAATGGTCACAGTGTATTTAATTAAAAAAATAGATAATACAAATTCACCAGATTTCTTTATACATAATTTCTTCATTTGCTATAAATATGTTAATTAAAAGGAACCTCTTTTAAGCTGATGGTGTTAAGATCAAGGAAAGTATGAATTACAGTGAATGTAAGGTACAGTAACTGTCCTTTTCAGAGCATTAGAAAGCAGAAGTGTATAACAAGATTTCTGATTCTATAGCTCATATAAAGATAAAAGTTTTAGATTCTGTGTTTTCTAAACAAATGTTTGTTGAAAAAATATCTCAACTTGACCTTTGCATTTGGTATTTTCTAAATGCTTTAGAAAGAACTTATTCTGAAGAATTCTTGAGTAAACTAGAATAAATATCTGCTGTCATGTTTCACCTGTTACAGTGAAAATATTAAAAGGACAGGGGACTTGAATTTATTGAAAATAAATGACAGAAATTATCAAAATACTTTTCATATATATTATACTTTCTTAAAATTATATGAAATATGTAAGAAAAATGTTGATTTCTAATTGTGGGACTTCAAATTGACAAAAGGAATTAAACTACAATGATAATAATCACACCTTAATTAAGAAAATCATTTAAAGTTGACATGAAGCACAATTCCTTACATTCTAATTCAAACATAATATTTTACTTGACATAATATACCTTTTTTCTCCTTATGATGTTTTCCCAAACCCTAGTGCACACCATGCACTCAAATGCGTCAATGTAGTTATCTTGGGAAATATCCTGAACTCCCCACTTGCGTTCTCTCATATGAGTCAGAAGATTATGGTTGGAGATGTCGCCTTTCTGTTTCCATTCCAGGTATGCCTCATACTCCTTGTCATTCTCATCGAGGCTGTTCAAGTACTGAGCTAGTTTAAGAGGGGGCTCATTGGGATTAACTATGATAGCACTTCTGTTGCTGGGAAGCCACTTGGCAACAGAAGGGGACCCATAGTAGACAGGGACTACTCCCAGCTTGAGGGGTCTCCAGAGCTTCTCCGTAATGTAATCATCACAGATTGCATTTTCAAAGGCAAGGATGAACTTGTACTGGGCGAGAATCCTGTAGAAGCCACGCTCCTCCATGGCCATTGGGTTATTTAAGTGCGGAGGCAAGTTTCTGTTATGTAGGCACTCCCCATAGGAGTCTACCTTAATGTACTTCATCAGCTCACGCACATAAGTGTCTCTGTCTGAAGGGGGGTCACAGTCTGATTGCACATAGACCAGGGGAGCCAGTTTTCCCCTCAAGCTGTTCTTCAGGGACAGGGGGACCAAGTAACGGCGGGACATCAAGGCCTCCACACTTTCCAGGTACTGTGTGGTGAGAGGCATGTGGGAATGGTGACTGAACGTTGCGGTGTGATTAAACAGAGAGACCGAGGCCTTGTGGAAGAGCTTGTAGTTGTTTTTAGGAGACTCTTCATGGAAAAGGGCCCAGTGATGATGACGTTTCCGTGGTAGAGGGAGGCTTTCTATGTTGAAGTCTGTGCCTGAAAAATGGAAATAGAAATATGAACAGAAAGGAAAAAAAGAGCAGTTAATTAAATGAGCATATTGAACTACTTTTAATATTTCAAACAAATACAGATTTTCTAAAATAAATAAAATGGAAGCAGATATATTTATTGCCTGCATTTTCCAACTAAAACAAATATTTGGTGTGTTCATATGTCAAAAATTGGTCACAAAAGAAGAAACTTAATCATTTCAGTCTGTATGCACATAGAACTCTAACCAAGTTAAACAATTAAACACATAATGATATTTGTTTTCTGGATTTGCATGATATAAATAACTGCTTCCCAGTTCTTCTGTTTTTACAATTTCTCCTAGGGTCCTGTTTCTAAAATCAAATACAAAATAATCTCAATCAAAATACCCTTTGAAGGCTTATCTGTCAGCTTTGTAAAACCATTTTAATAAGAGTAAAAATGTCAATAGCAATCCATTGTATACTCCCTTTCAATTAACCCCTTTGAAAAAAAAATGTTTGCACAATTAGGTGATGGACTGCATTGACATTTCTCACTTTGAAAAGAATGGGTCACTTCAATTAGCAAATGGTGCCAATACAGAACAAGAGCATGACCTCTAAAATCTCACAAGATTCAGCTTGCATTACAAGTATGGAACGTCTAATATAGACGTACAGAAGGCTTAATTTCGCAGTCAAAATTATTACCTGTTAACCCTTGGAGTGAAACAGGATTAAAAAAAAATATCCATTGTTTAAAATAATTGACTGATGTTAGATGATAATAATAAAATTTTCTCCTGTGATGTACAAACAATAGTGACAGCTTTTTTAAAACTCAGGGATTTTAATGTTTTTAAACATTCATGTTAACTCAGCAGATGTCACTCTTTTGAAAGTGCAGGAATGCCTTATTTGGAAGACACAGGTAACAAGCTCCCTCTTGTGTTAAGTCTGCATAACGGAATAGATATTTTATAATGCAAAAGGTCAGTACCTAATGAGGTGGTCCATTTTTTTGTGATATAATAGGCCTGTATGTAACTATACTGTGTTTCCACTGAGCTTCACACTCAAAGGCCTATGGATGTCAAGCAAGCTGTCAGACAAAGCATTGTCCAGGACTATCACAGGGCCATGGAACACTAATCTATGATCTTCTCAGCATGTCTTTGGAAAAGTAAGAGGAAACTGAAGGAACTAGCAAAAAAATGGCAAATATTGGGAAATCATGCAAAATCCCCACAGACAGCTAAGAACAATGAGCTACTCTACCTTTGTATGCATCATAACACTAAGAGTGTTATAATCAAATATTGGTGAAAGGGTCTAATACAGAAAACTCCTCTTATCCCAGCTAACATTTTACAAACCCAAGTTTCATAGATCTTCTCCTGACTTTGAGGAAGAGACTCTGCCTGAATAAATGTGAAGAACAGGGTCACATTTATAAACTCACTTTCCAACTTGAAAGTGGGATACAAGTTGTCTTGTTAAAGGTATATAAATCCACCAAAGATAACACATGGCCAAAATAATTCTAGACTGTAGTCAATCACATGTTATACAGTATCTCTACTTTTTCCCTGTGAAATCTTAAGCAATCTTATTTTTTCCAGTAGATCTAATTGGTCACAAGATTTGATTGGGACTAAAATAAATGACTCCGGTCTTAGAGAAATACTCTAGAGATATGTCTGTGTCTGTGAGCAGATCATCAAATGTCTTTTTATGCCAGACACCGGTTGCACTCTGATAATTCCTCCAGCTTAAAAACCTCAGTCTTGGCAGGCCATATGAGAAAATCAGACTTGTTTTCACACCAGTCTATAATTACATGACTTTGGGTAGCAATATGGTTTTTAAAATAAGGTTTGATTAACAGTGTCCATAGAGAATGAATGTTTGAATTAAAAACTGAATGAAATTAGTCATAAGAACACAATTGGTGCTACAATCAAGAGATATCAAGTTATTTAGGCATAATTGGCAAATAAGAATTAAAAATGTACAGTGATCTCCATAAGTATCAAAACAGTGAAGTCAAAAGTACTATTTTCGTTGTATACTCTAGCAACTCAGAATTGAGACGAAAAGATGAATGAAGCAAAAGTACAGAATGTCACCTTTTATTTCTGTGCATATACTGCATGCTGTACTGTTTTAGAATAACAGCACTTTTTGTGTTCCATCCCTTGATTTTAGGTAACCATAAGTACTGGGACAAATTAACAAAGTCAATTAGCAGTATCATAAAAATATACATAATATATATATTTACTAGTATAAATAAAGTAGTATAAAACTCTGCATGTGTAACAAATATACCCCTGTGTATAACAGGGATCTCAGCTGCCCGGGCTGAGGGAGCTCTCCTTTAGCTCAGCAGGCAAGTTCCCTGTTGCGTGATGCCGGAGACCCGGTTTAGTGCATAGGCAGTGAGGGACAAACTGGCAGGGCAGGAGCGGCAAAGGCAGAAACCCCAAGAACGTTACACATGCAATATCTACATCAAGCCTGCGACCCACCAACATTACCAAACTCTTGATTTGTTCTTTTGAGATGCTCTGCCAAGCCATTGATGCCGCCATTTTCAGTTGCTGTTTGTTTTGGGGGACATCAGTCAGCAACTGAAATGCATGCTCAGTTGGATTTAAATCAGGACACTGACTTAGCCAGTCTGAGTCTTTCCCCTTTTTTTCCCCCTGATGAACTCCTTTGTGCTGCCAGTGTGTTTTGGGTCATTGTCTTGCTGCCTGATGAAACACTGACTAATGAGTCTGGAGGTATTGTCATGTCATTGTCATTCTGCTGCTACCATACAATCGTTAGTTACATCATCAATAAAGACCAGTGAGCCTGTTCCAATGGCAGCCATGCACTGTATGCCCAAGCCATGACACTACCTCTACTGTGTCACACATGAAGTTGATCTTTTGCAGTTTGTTACTTTCTCCACACTTTCACCTTGCCATCTCTTTGGTAGAGGTTTATCTTTGCCTCATTTGTCCATCATACCTTGTTCCAGAAATTAACTGGCTCATCTCTGTACTTTCTAGCAAATTACAATCTGGCCAATATCTGCATCTTGCATTTTTATAAGTCTGCTGTCAAAGTCCTCCACGATCAGTAGGTTGTGATACCTTCACCCCTGCACTGGTGGTGATTTCAGAGACAGTTGTTTTAGTGGTATTATTCACAGCTCAGATATTTTTCTATCATCAACTGCAGTTGTTTTCCACGGCCAGCCTGGTCACTGCTGATTGCTAAATACACCAGTGATTTCCTTCTTTTTCAAGATATTCGAAATTGCTCATTTTTGTTGATTTTGCTAGTCACGGTTTCTGTGCTATGGTTCTGATTAAGTTCTTTCAGCATCCAAATCACTTGCTTTTCTTTCGTAGACAGTTCTCTAGTCTTCATCTCGATTAAGGCCTACTGAATGCAAAGGCAGACACTATAAGGCTAAAACCAACACTACACATTCACAGCTCTTACATGTGTGCACAATCACACAGGAAACACCTGGCGGCCAACTGTCCACTTTGACTCACCTTAAATTGTGAATACAACAAGTGCTATTATTCTAAAATGGTACAACATACTGTATAATTCCCAGAAAGAAAAGATGACATATCAGAGCAAATACAAAGCGAGGTTTTGATGCTTTGCAACGAGTATGCAACTTAGCTGCCCAACTGCATTTACAGAAAGGACACAAGAGGTGCACTTAGAGCTCAGATTGAGATAGGGTTTTTATGTTTGCTTTTTTCACTTTTTCTGCACAGTAACTAAAGAGCTCTGATTCTTTACCCTATAGTAGTGTTTTGTGCATCTGTTTACTGAGACCATAAAAAGATCACTACTACAGCAACCCACCTCCAGGTTGGTCACAATTAATAAAGCATGTTCTATCACAAAGTGCATTACATATAGGAGGGGGGATCCACTTCAACTACTATTTAAATGTAGTACATCGGAGTAGCACAGGGATGCCATTATAAGACAGCAAGCCCATTACACATCAGATCAGGAGACGTGAGAAACTGCTTCACCAATTTCATCAGAAAGCTTACATAGACTAGATTGTGCAAGCCCAAGGTAGAATTTAGTCTAAGACACCAAGAACATCCCTGTTCTCAGAAACAGTCCCATGTATATTATGAGTGGCTGTTTAAGACGTGTGAACATTGGTTTTATGTTGAGACTGCAATGTTTGTCATGTTTCCTTTGCTTGGACCTACTGTATTATGTATTTCAGTTTGTATTTGTCATTTAAAGGAAATTCATCCATTTTTGGGAATATTAATAAAGGACAAAATATCTACCTAAAGTACCGCCTGTTATAAAAATTATATTTCCTGACAGGTACGTCACATTATAAGGGTTCTTCCTGTCACAAAAAAAAAAAACTTTTGTTCCACTACATTGTAGCAACTAGTTACGAATGTTGAAAGAGATGTCCAGTTTCACAAGATTATTTCTAAATCCTGCTCACCTAGACAAGGGGTCTTCACTTCATATTCTTTTTCTCCCCTTATCACCCTCAAAGTGGGCTCCTTCCACCTAATGGACTCATGGTTAGGTCTTTATTAATTCAGCCATGCGAATACAACAAAAAATCTGAACCTAATTGCCTTTCATTAAAATCGCTTACCGTAGGGTTTCTTTTAAACTTGCTGAGATAAGACATGTAAAATAAAATCAATAACAGTGTACAATAAAGCCATAACCACATGGCATTAGATTCTATGTATCCATAAAAGTGACGTTACAGTACAATATGATCTTATCTATGACTAAATATAACCCACTTCTCTTACTAAATATAACCTGCTCAACCTGTAGAAGGAAAGGCATGCTCAGACAGGTTCAACAGATTGCACTACCACCCGTACTAAGAGGTCTTCCTAACAATCAACGAGAACACGGACATAGTTTTAACTTGCTTGGCATCGGGAGTGACAGCCCACCATGAGATTTATCCTATGAGTGTCAGGAGCAGTTCTTTCCGGGCCCTATGCAGACGACACGATCCGGAAGGTGAAGAAACAATAGGGAAAAATATCATGCAGGAGTGGGTCAGGAGACAGGGGGGCGTGTCCGAAGTGAACAAGTGTCCAGGGGAAATGAGTCCGGGGCAAACAATCCAAGCATAAATCCAAAAGGGAAATCCAAAATAGGAGACAGAGTCCAAGACCAGGGGATCCATCCAAAGTAATTTAAAAACCAGAACCGGGTCGGGACCGGCGGGACAGGGAATCAGGAACAGGAAACTAAAACCATAACGGAGCCAGACGCAGCAGGACCCCAGGCTCTCACGAAACAGGATTCAATGAGAAGCCCCGGGCAAACGCCTGCGTCTGGCTTTAAAGGTGGAACTAAAGAGGGGCTGGAATAAGGAACAGGTGTGGGGAATGGGACAGAACGAGGAAGGGCTGGAGCCCCATTAAGAGGAGGAGTAACGATCGTGACAATGAGAGTCTTCCAGTAGGAGAAATGCAAAGCAAGGAGCAAATATTAAGGGATGCAAGGCAATGAATTCTAGCATAGAGATGTTAATTATTTGCATGTATATGGTACTATGTCTGGCTTAACAACAGATTAGAATTTCAGTAAAAACATAAATAAAACTGTACATAGAGCAGCTGCTTAACAGTAAAGGAGAAACAAATCTTGTTCTCCTTGTTTAAAACCACCTCAGCTTGAAATGATGATACTCACCATAAAACAGGAATGCCTCTGTATTCTTATGATCATAGTAGGTCTTGTTAATGGTGAAGAAACACTTGTTCTTTCCACAGGTCTCAAGTCTGCTTGTTTCACCAGTAAGGAGTGACCGCCAGACAAGGATGGGATACTGTGTGCTTGATTCAGCCAGTCCCTTCATACTGGTCACTTGTTTATTGTGCTTTAAGACTTGCTGTTGACTACCCTCTTGTCGGTTTCCTTTTATAATGGGTTTCTGTGTTTTCTTTTCAAACTGTCCCAGCTCCACAACCACCTGAGCAAAGAAAAGAGATTCAGGAATCACCAATATGATTTTTCTTTATTAAATCACAATTATAAAGTCTATAGTATATATATATATCTCATATATGTATTGAACAAACACATAAGATGAAGAAAAGTCTTTAAAAGAATAAGAAATGCAAAAGAGCTTTAAAATCAGACTGGTCTTTGCTCTCTCCTAGAGCCTGGGTCAATCATGAATTTCTGTGATACCCCATTTACAGTCTCTTCGCTAAATTACAGTCCTCTTGATATTAACTACTCTTTATAGTATGTTAACAACTAACTTGCAACTCATTTTCAAAGCTCAGTAATACTAAACATGAAACCACAAATCAATAGTCTATTCTTTAAGTCCACTGACCTCTGAATTGAACTCTCCCTGAACATGTTCCTTATATTGGTTAGTCTCAAATTCCAGAAATTACAGTAGTTGCACGTATTTCACTAAGTCACTACTTACGTATAGTTCACTGGATGACACAACAATAATACCAATTAAAGAAAGTGTAAACAGCGCTTAGTAACCTATCCATTACAGTCCTTTCAACAGATAAATATACCAGATATACAGGGTTATTTGTAGAATGATAGACAAACTATAGTAGCTACCAGAACATGAATAAAATGCTGGCTGGCACTGCAAACAAAACTGGACATTTTAAACAGTGATTTTTCTCTAGCCATCTATTTCTAAAGATGACTCACATCAATAATTCACACTTCCAGGTGCATTGCAGAAACATTCAACCACTTTGTCCTGGAAGACATTTGCCCAGTTGTACACGCACACATGCAAATACTGTACGCCAAATCCAACCTAGCAGATCAGATATGCTTTACCCATATTCTACAGAATTAGTGGGGCAAGGATGAATGCCTTTTAAAACGGGAACTGGTAGTTAAAAGGGTTGTTAGAAAGGATGAGAAAGTACCAGGAAGAAAGAAGGAGAAGGAGAGGTCAGTGTTTTCATCACGAAATGAAAGGAGGAGCAGCAGCAGGGTTTGAGGAGGATTGCCACAGGCAGATCAAGGGTATAGCAGAGAACTGGGAGAGAATCCTACTGAACACTGTCAGCCTGTAAACAGAAAGGATAAGGAGCAATATTGCAAGCTCGACTTAATAAAAACAGTAAAGTACATTGCAGTGTTGTACCTGTATTCTCAGTCTGTAAATATTAATAAGACCTGAATCTCACACTGAAGAGGAACTTCAGGTTATGGTCCGAAATGTTCAATTTAACTAGAACAGAATGCTTAAAATGTCTTACCCCAATTATCTGTGTAATGTTTCTCTCCGTTTATTGTTATCTCTTCCTGTAGATATATAACTTAATAGTTTTATTGTGGTCATTCAATTTATTACAAATGAGAACCTTTCCTCAGAAGAGAATTTTAAGCTACATTTAAAAAAAACCATTCAGGACAAATGTACAAGCCCATACGGACAAATAATAACAGTGTAATAGTTTACATTTCATTTGCATGAATATAAGATATAATTTAATTTTTTTTAAATAATAAACCAACCAAAATTCATAGTACGTCTACTTTGCCCAATAAACTATTCTTTGTTGTTTTATATGATACAAGTGTAGCTCTGTGTTTGCTTTTATAATAATACTATTGATAACTTGTGGATATGTTTTATTTATAATGTATACATTTTAAAACATTTAATAAAGCATTTGGAGAAAAGTTCTTATAAAATATGTCATTCGCGCCTGCGTAGTCTTAATATTTAAACTAAAATGTTACATTGGGCTAAAATACCTAGCAAAGCATTTAATTTTTCACATTTGAAATAGACGGGATGATGCTAGCAAATGCTTCAGTTTGTTATGGATTTTAAAATGCGCATCAAAAACAAGCTCTTATGTACCTGAAGAATAACAATAAGAAAGAACAAAGTCGAGAAGAAAAGGCAGAAAGCCAAGAGCTTCTTCACACTTAGTCTTGCCATTATCGTTCGGTTTTGCAACACGGACGTAGCCTACAATTCGCGAAGTTCTCCTTACGGTACACTGCAGCTTCGTTTATTCATTAATAAATTCATGGTACAGACATTAAGCCACAAAGCCCAGTTTGTTTTCAAATACCAAAACCAATTTAACAAACTCCCGCCTCCTTCTCTCTGAATCCGCAAATGAGAGGAAAACGTTCCCTGCGTCACAGTCAGACCATGCTTTGTATTGTCCAGCTAAGTATCAATCAGTGGCATCATGCAGTGAAGACATCAATAAAGGATTCAGATAACTTCTTGTCATGTGACCATGTAAATCCTCGCTTTAAAGCACTACGTTTTAATACATCGTGTTCCGCTCTTCCATGTTTTTTAAAGTCGACTATTTTTGGTGGAGCTGAGCTATCCCGTTTTCTGACACCTACAGTACGAATGTAAAAACGGTCTCATGAGATAAAGATGGTTAATATTCGTCCTCCTGCATGTCTGAATTGTGTTTTTTTCCCGAATTTAATATCCGACCATTGAACCAGTAGGACGATTAAACCTAGCGATTTGTGTGGTTTAATGTGGAAAATCTTTATTAAAAAATCATGCAACGTTGCGTGTTCCTCCTCTTCTTCATAGTATTCTTTTTTATGACTCGAATAAAAATAAAGACACAATAATGATCCTGTTTCAGTTAAGAAAATGTACTTAAACCCTTCACAATAAAATAAGCATCAAATGGTATATTTGTACCACCCTAGGGAGAACTTTATGTAAATTGTCTTTTTAAAAGTGTACGCTAAACCTATGTAAAAATGTAACACTTCTTACATATAATGACATTAAATAAACTTATTGAGGTTCTTGGATTGTTTGAAAGTGCAGCATATGTATTTAATTGTTGCATTTTAGAAGAGGCATTCCCAGCTCTAGTGGTCTTGGTTGCAGGATTCAGCGGGTTTTCTATGCCTGTATAATCACTTCTCTACTTGAGGAAAGTGCAAAATTGATCCAATTAAGATTTAACTAGACCAATTTCTTCCTTCTCCACAGCCTTACGCTACGAATGATTGAAAGACGGATAGAAAAACAGCTAGACTCTGGACCCGGAGCTGGGAACGCTGCTTGTGGAGGGTTACAGCCAAGATGGTGTGGAGGTTTATTTGTAAAAAAATAAACTGCTGGATCCTGATTGGCGCATGAGGTGCTGTGCAATCAGAATGACAGGGTCTGTAGGGCTGTGTTGCTACAGCTGTGGAAAAGGAGGACATCTGCAACACCAATGCTAAGAGTTGGTTTAATTATGAACCCCCTCTTCATCATGTCTTCAAGGGGAGATTGTTCCCGGCTCAGAGTTGCCTGTGGATATACAGTATGCTGTGAGGATTCTCCTCTGTTAGACTCCCTTCCTTGTTCTGTAAAACAAAGGACACGCACCATGCCTTAGCTCACAGCTTCTGCTTCAAGAGTTTTAGTCTTGTGAATCCTTGCCGGCATTACACTGGTACTAGAGAGGGATTCTCTCAGTTCTTTCTTACAGAATACCCTCCGACACTACTGTAGGTCATCCTTGCCAAATCTAGAAGCCCAGACCAGGCAGTAGTGAAGGCTTTGAGAATTACGGTCTCAGTTCAGTTGACATTGTAAACCAAAAGATAAAAAATAAATAAATGTGAAAAAGTCTGTGTATCTGAGATGAGTCTGTCGGTCTGTGCTGCTGGGATAGTAGAAAGAGAGGACATCTGTAGTACCAGTGTTGGTGCCAAGAAAAAAGATCATAGGGGAACACGGAGCAACTGAACAAGGGTGATAGCTCTTCCGTGATGATTCTGTATTTGTCACAAAGGAGCTGGTAAAGCAGAATTAGTGAGCTGGATTTATGAGGGTAACCGTCTGCACTTCCTGTGTGCCTTTAACAGTGACTCTACCTTCACCCTTGCTCTGAACATTAGTTCTGGTTGGCTGAGTTCCAGGACACATTCCCAGCCTGGAATTCCAGGGGATAAAGGGGTCCAGCAGTGCCAGCACTCATGGACTTGACAAATATAACAGCAGGCCCTTGAGGCAGCACACTATAGCTCGAGACAAAAGCTGCTCTTTGACTGTAGATTCAAATCAGGTCGCTTTCCCAGCAACAGTGAGCGTCCCATTTTTAGGTGGCTGATTTCCCTGAAGCAGATGGCAGCAAGTGTCACTATCAATGCATAAGCAAGCAGCGGAACAGCCACATCAATTCTCAGACTGCAGTTTGTGAAGAAGTATCACCAAGCTGGAGCCCCAGCTCCCAGCAGAATTAGAGGACTTTACCTGCCGTACCGGGATAAGGATCACATTCCACGACACCTGGGAGGGACAGAGAGGTAAACCAGCCACGTCAGCAAGGGGACTTTGGTGAATACCAACCCAGGCTAATGGGGCTGATAATCAAATGGGGGAAGGCTATAGAGTTAAAAGGGACTGTTTAGAATTGAGCATGAGCATCTTAAAGTCGTGCTGATTATGCTGCTTCCGATGAGCGCACACATGTTAATTTAGTACTATATGTCATCAAACTCGTGCAGGTTGTAAATTCTCTATTTGGCTGCCCTGCAGACAGCCCAGGCAGCAGAGGAAGAGTTGTTGTGCAGGACTGTTTAGGCTCTTACAAAAATGGTGCATTTACTAGGGGTCATATTGTCTTTAGGATAAGAACACTCCAGGAAAAAAAAACTTTTTTTTCTCCTGTAACAATCTTTTTTTTTTTCCAAAGGTAATCTTCAATCAAAAACTGCCATGGAAGAAATCTCGGAACAATAGCAACATTTCTGCCAAAACAAAGCCCACAACAGAAAAAAAAAACATTTGTTAATTTCTTATGAATTGCTACCTATATATCACCATTAGCCACCTGCTATCTGCAGTATTATTTGTACAAGATGAATGAAAAGTAAAGGAAAAACACAGAAAGGTACCTTAAAATTTTTATGATCATTTTCATTTTCTTCTTTTTTTCAAGAAATGTCATATTATCAGTTGCACTGTTGAATACGGCTCACATGAGAAAGGACCTGTAGACATTAAAAGTAAAAAAGTGGTCAGAAAAAATCTAAGTTGAGTGGATTATTACCAAATATTTTATTGCATTCAATGCTGAGGTTGTCTTATCTTTCTGCCATTTTTGACATTTTACTTTGTTAAATAATGTCGACTTCCATATCGAAGCCATCTTAGATTCGGATCAATAAGATAATATAAAATGTCTGATAAAGACAGTATAATTAAGCAAACTGCCATTCAGCTGCTATTCTTCAGCATTCAGCTGCTTTCAATTTGGAAATATAAATACAGTACACTGTGGCCTCTCTTTCTGTCCCCTGCTCCCGCCTCTCGCTCTTCCTCTCTCCCAGCCTTTGTTCTCCCGCCACATTACCTTTGCCTACTGCCTTGTCTCTCTCACACCTGAAGAAGGCTCCATGGCCAAAATGTTGTGTTTTCTTTCTTCTTTTTTTCAGCATTGTATAAACCTATTACTTGTTCCTTTGCAGCCTACGCATGCTGACGCACCTACCCACCTGAACTACAATAGTCTAGTAATGTTCAAATTACTGTACTGTACTTTGATTTTTCAGAACATTAAAAAAAACAGAGTAGATTTTGGTTTGTTATTTTCAAATTCCATAACTTTTCTAGATGTACCCTGATTTACAGTGGGTTCTGTGCAGATTACCAATGCAGAGAACCCAAAGCTGATTTAGCTCTCTTGAGCTGAGTAAAAATCCATGCAAGTGTAGGTATGGGAGGCCTACAGAAAAACTGCTTTTCACTCAGGAAAACATTGGTTGTTTAAAGAGATGCCTTCCACCCTGTGATGAAAGGCATGATCTATTTACATTTCCTAATGGTGCACACGGCTACCTTTGAGAAAGCCATGGTGAATCTGCATTTAGTGTTCAAATGCATCAAGGTGGCAGGCCACAAGAGACTAAGTTCCTTGGGCATGGAACCGGGAATGAGGGAATAGCAACTGATCCCAATTAGATAACTGCCTAGATTAGTCTTTGCTTAGAAATGTAAAGGAACTCATGAGCTTTGTGTCTTGGCATCTTATTGCAAGATAGTTTTCAGAAGCTTTGTGGACATTGCTATCATTGCATTGAGTCAATTGAATGTTTTCTGACTGAAAATGTGTGAGTACAGAATTAACAAATGTGCATGGATAAAAGTGGTTGTCACTTTGAAAACCTACTGTAATCCATAAATATGTAGCCTTGAGTCTCACTCCAAACTAGCCCTAAACATGTCTCAAAAGATAGATCTTCTCATGTTTATTGATTTTAGAAAACTCATTTTATTCCTGTGTACAGTATATGTACAAGAGCATGGGATGGGATGACCTAATAAATCTTACTGAGAAACAAACAGAATAAAATATATTTTTTTATCCAAATAAAAAAGTCTAGCAAAAAATAATTATCAAAAAACAAATTAAACAGTATAAGAATTAAAAATCAAAACCTACAATAAATCCAAAGGAATCCATTATTTTACAGTTTATAATTAACTGAACAATATTTTTTAAATTAAAAATTGTGAATAGAATAAACATATCTAATATCTAGCTTTAAAATTTATTTTTTTAAACAAAAAACCCTATCAAAACTGCACATACTATAATGTCCTCTCATAACTTCTGATCAGTACAAATTATCTCACTGCCTGTATTCTAATAATTTTGCTACAATGCTGACTGTTTCCATCAGAGTTCTTCACATCCTCGATAGTTTTATTTGCCCTTATTGACACATTCTGTGTTTGATTTTTATATTCCCTCATTTCAAAAACCTTTCTGACGTTCCAGGTTTACATCTCTTTACTGTTTTCTTTTAGTAGATGGGATTAGTCCTTGAGGACTGATTACAATATAAGTAATCCATTCCTCCATTTTCTAATCACTTTATTCAGTTCGAGGTCACATAGGAGCTGGAGCCTATCCCAGGAAGCAACTTGGCAGACTCACAGACATGGACACCACACCAGGGTTATTTTCCCCAGAAACCAATAAACCTACCAATATGTTATAGGATTATGGGAGGAAACTGGATTAACCAGAAGAAACCCACCCATTGAACCTAGCCTGTGCAATGTGAGGCAGCAATGCTAACCACTGCCACTGTGACAACCCATACAAGTTATCAAGGCAAGTAATCAAGCACTTGATCTTGAATCCCTTTTATTGTTGTCCTATTCCTATTTACACCTGTTATTCTATAAAGCTACCAATTCTTTCTGTACATCTTTATAATGGTGTGTACTGCATAACACAAAATATTTGCCATTTTCCCTCCAAGAATGCTTTTCCTTACCATGGTGTGTTAACATAATCTAATGTACAGTATATGGAGTAGTCTGCCTACCATGACAAGGTTTCTCTTTCAATTTAATTGTAGTGATATTAATCTTCAATAAAGTTATATCAATCTTCAGTGTAGTGATATCAATCTTTAGTGCACTGATATCAATCTTCAGTGTGGTAGTATTGATATTATGTTTGGCTGAAAAACCATCTTGGGGTTCTGTTGACTTTCCTCTTTTAACGGTGTCATTTAACATAAATCATTTAGACACTGAATTGTTACTGGGTTGTGTACAGTATATGGAAAATAAAATGTTTTAAAACAAGGCTCCATAACATCCTGGATTTCTGAATTATAAACCTTCTTTCCTTTCCAGATGAAGAAGAACATAGTCCTTAGAATAATGCTGAAAGACTGCAATTATTGCTTATGGTGCTCACTCATTTTTTGTCTTTCGGAGAATTGTAGGAAGTTTGGAACTCGTGTGTCTCTGCACATATACAGTACACATAGGAACAAGTAATAGGTTTATTTCATGCTGAAAAGAGAAGAGAGAAAACACAACCTTTCAGCTGTGAAGCCTTCTTCAGGTGAAGGCTTCACAGCCAAAACGTTGTGTTTTCTCTCCTTTCTTTTCAGCATGGAATAAACTTATTACTTGTTCCTTTGCAGACTACGCATATATACACATATACAGTACAGTAAATGAAAAAAATTACTATGCAGGTATTTCAGATATTTGACATTGTTAATAGTCATCCTGCAATCACAGTGCAGCACTGACAATACAGTAGGTATGTTAAATGGATTAAGGCATAAATAATGTAGTGGATAAACCAGTGAAGGACAATTAATTGATTTTCATGTTCGGCAATTATTCCTCTTTTAGACTTTGCTAACCTTTTGAGAACAAATTATTTATAACTTTCCAGCTCACTGCTGCTACAAATTGCAATTAATTAATGACTAGCCTTCAGCTTCATTTAAGCATAATGACCTGACATCAGTCAGTAGTGGCATTATTGCTGAGCAGATGAAGGAAAACAGTGAAAGTTACATTGTTTTAGAATTATGCTTATTTTCAACAAAGGTCTAAATAAACATCCACTGTATTTGAAGTAACATTGCTTGCAGAAACCTTACATACAGTATGTATAATGAAGAATTAATAAAACGCTGGCAGGTCAACACTTGTTTTTAAATGTGTTTTAGTGTACAGGTAGTCCTAGACTTCCGATGGGTTTAAGTTCCAACGACCCCATCGCAAGTCGAAAATCACAGTTGCGTTTATCGCGATACTACACGAACCATATGCGGATGTGTAAAGAATTAACATGCATTAATGCTACATTGTGTAATACGGCTTTGTTATATTTTTTCACTAATTTTACTATTTACTCATGGTAAAATAATACAATGTGGATATTATAAAATGAAATACACTAAAAGTAATCAATAATAAAAAAAGAATTAAAAAAGTGCTGCTTTGCACTTACCGTTAATGTAATCAGCTGAATGCACACTTGGCCCGAGTGATTTTTTTAATGTCACGTATAATAATACGTGATAAAGTATAAAGTATAAAGTACATTGGATGAAGGAGGAGAGGAGGCTTGTAAGGGTGGATAATCAACATCATGTTCTTTAGGGCTTGGATCGCCTTCAGGGGGTGCTGGGCTTCTTAAAAAATATGTCCAATTTGGACTGAACAGTTTGCCTTTTCCTTTCACTATGAAAAGTAATACGATGAAGGGGATGGCCGTCGTAAGTGCGAGTGGTCATAAGTCGCATACGCTGTAAGTCAGGGACTACCTGTATTCCAGTAAAGCTTTGGTAAAAAATTAAGAATGGGATACAAGGTTCAAAAAGCCAATTCTAACAACATCCATTTTCTAACCACTTCTTCAAACTCGAGGCCACAGGAAATATGGAGCCTATCTCAGCAAGCAACAAGCACAAGGCAGGGTACAGCTCTGTTGGGACACCAGTCCAATGTAGGGCAGACACACTAACATGTTCATACTCACTCCAGGGCCCATTTTCCAGAACCTACAGTACCTGTGTATTTTTAGACTGTGTGTGGAAACCAGAGCACCCAGAAGAAACCCACACAAACTTGGAGAGAACATACAAACTTTAGGCTCCAGCACTGCAATGCAGCAATGCTAACCACTGCGCCACTGTGCCACCCTATAGTATACATTATTTATATAAATAGGCATAAATATGTATTTACATCACACTCATATAAATATATAGAAACTGAATATATGTAAATATAAATATAATGGTTTTATGTCTGATCTTTTTATGTCTATCAAGACCCACTTTTCTCTTCTTGTACAAGGATGAGAAATTAGATGTACTGTAGTACACTCACTGTGTGTTAATTTTATTCAATACAAAAACAACACAAAGTGAGATTGATGAGAATATTTACAGAATTTATTTAATTCTGTTTCATGGAGCCCCTTAGCCTTTATTTATAAACATGATAATGGACGTTGGCAATGCATCACTAAACATGTAGTTTATCTTAATTAACTCTGTATTAAAATCACATTTCAGAATGGTAAAAAGTGTTCTTGGTCCACTTCAGCAGACGTGCACTCATACATTTGTGCTAAGAATGAAGAAATATTAACTCTGAGATAAACATAGAATAAATTGCTAAGAATATTTAAGTTTGATGCATTAAAAATTCTAATGGCATTAGAAAAAAATTATCATGTGAAAGAGAACAGCTGTGCACTAGAAGTTATATCTGAATAAGAAAAACATAAAAATGTTACAAATGAGAATTATTCACTAAAAGATACAACAGGAGCATATTGATCAGAGAATCATTTTTAGTCTTCTTTTACTCTTGTTTTCTCTTTTGAAGAAAACAACTTTAAGAGTTAGCTTGGCAAGGGACAGATAGTAGGAAACACAAAGCACTGTGCATTGGTATCTTTTTTTGAGTTGCTTCTGTTAGTTTGAGCAGCTTTGTTTCAATGTATTATGTTAAAGTAAACACATAGCTCCATATACGGTATCTCAGTCCAATCTCATTGTAGCTGCCTGAACCGATTCTCGGCCATACGAACACAACACAGTTCTAAAGCATAAAATGTTTTTTAAGCCTTTTCCGTTTAAAAAAAAAAACAATCCGCCCATTCGTAAAGATCAGATCACAGTTCAGGTCATTGAGTTGATCTTCATTAAATTTTATTTAAATTAATAGCATTG